CTCAACTTTCATAGCTGTTGCTGCTGTGAAAGCAGTCTCTGCTTCAAGTGTTATCCCTTGACTTACTCCGACTTCTGTCCAAGGGAGAGGTGTGCAGGACCAGCTGGGCCGCTACGGAGGGGAGTTGCACTCAACAAGGGTCTGAGTTTCACTTCTTCCTCCGCAAAGCAGTGGTTATCGTTACATCCAACATACAATCTATTGCTCAGAGCACCAGTGTCCCAGAAAAGGCCTCGCTAAAAGTGAACCACCAAGCTCTGCTCAACCCACCCTCCCCTCTAAAAGGCTCCATGTTGACAGTATGGGAGAAACCAATTCCATTTAAAAAAAAAAGAGACAAAAAGACCAACAAAACCAAAAAAACAACCTTCAAAATAAGTTCTTGAGTGTCTCTGGCTGTACATCTCTATCCTGTAACACCACCAGCCAAACCTCAACATATACTAATTCGCAGGCAGAAAACTTTCAGAAAGTACATCTTGCAAATGATCAAGGTGATTACATCTCTACATCACATGACAGACTAAATGCTTTGCTACCCACACTCTAGAAAAAAGCCAGATTACTAGGAATTAAGAATAAAAGATTTTAATACAGGCACCCCCCTCAGATGAGATCAAACAGCTACAGAGGGAAAAACAATCACAACCACAGTGACTAAAACTGGCAAGCACTAGAGTTGAAGCTGTATGAAATCAGCAGCCAGAGAATCTTTAGAGACCTGAGGTAACAGTGATGCATGGCAGACAAAGGCCAGAAACATAAAGAGGCAAATTTTTGACTAGAGAATTCAGCAGTGAACAAAACGCAGCTGTGCAATTTCTGTTGAAAAGGCAGCATTTCATTCCAAACCTGCCTGTACAAACAGAGCACAAGCTCCTCACCTATGTGTCATTATGAAAAGCCTCTGGTATCACCACTCCTCTGTTGATTCTCAGCCCCATCCTCCCCATGAGCTACGGCCGGATCCATTAAGAGTTAATATGATGAGCAACATGAGACTGCTTAAAACAACCAGACAGTCACCAAGATAAAGATCTCTGGAAAACAGAAATGCCGTGTCTGGTTTAATCATGTGCCAGGACTGCTGATGGTGTTTGAAACTATTACAACTTTCGCTCTGCACACAGACAGCAGGGACTGGTAGCAACAGGCAGCCCAGCTGGCTGGACCACGGTGGGGTGAGAAACCAGGCAGTGCTCCTTTAATAAATGCAGGAATCGTAAAAGGGGCTTTCACCATCCTCACCTCTGTGATAAATCAAGGAAGATTGAGATCTGAACCCTCGTAAATCTGCAGGCACAGTGTGTTTTGCTGTCTACATCAAATTCTCTTGTCCTATCCACAGGTAAGTCTGTGGTAAATACTGGGGAGTCCACATAAACAGGAAACAACCAGTGCAGTTACTGGAAAGGGGAAACGGTGTTTCCTCAGAGTCCATACCCTGATCACAGCACATCTTAAACACATAGCTCAAGTATTCTGAGCACTATCAAATAAGTGCCGTTCCCAAGAAAAAAAAAACCTCTATATTCCAGCGGCAGGCCCAGATATTAAGATTAAGGAGACACTTGTAAAGCCTTCAAACCCATCTATTTTTTCATCTTTTCTGTTTCTAGACCCTTCTGCAACCTCTGCTTCTTCTCCTCTTAGTACCACATTCCATCTTCTCACATTTATGTTTGCCATTCCTTCTACCAAAATCCAAATCCCTTTTCTTAAACAAACGAACAAAAAAAGCTAGTCGGATTGAAACTTTTCCTTCATTCTCCCCCAGCAAAACTGACAGTTACCATGAAATATATTTATCTGCTGTTAGTAGTCTTCTCACGGTTGAAGGAGAAATGGTCTGTAGTGGCAGCACCACCATCTCCAGACGGCCGGAGGAGGAACTGTCCAGCAGTGAAGCACCTCCTGAGAGACGGTGGGGATCAGCTAAGCACCAACACAAGAAAACCAGCGATGCTCCTGAACTTCTCAATTAATAGCCACTTACACCAGCTGCCCATTTTCTACTGAATGTATCAGTCAAACCTCCAAAGGTTGTTTCAATGAAAACAAAGGCAGCTTTTGCAGATAATACCTAAGGCACTGTCCATGTATAGTAAAAAATTACTTTCTTCACTAGAAATCATCAAACAGATTCCAATGAAGGGGGGGGGGAATGTCAGAAAACTGTATCTCTATTTCCTCATGCCCACTATAAAACCAAACTCAGAGCTTGCTGAAGTCCCAAAGCATTTCCAGTTCATTCTCTGTTCTCAACCAGAAAAACACATTTTCTCATGAACTACCATAATTCCCACAACTTAAGCAGTAATTTGGTAACCTACCTCTTACAAGATCAAGTTTCAAGCTACATCTATCCTACAAACCTTCTGAGATCCACTTATCTCAGTCACACAGCTATAAGGAAAGACGGACTTTAATACTCAAATTCAGTAGCAGCAATAAGAACAGTAGCTCCTGTCTTGAGAGAGAACCACATATAGGAAAGAAGTCATGCTCAAAATGTTGACACATCAGTTGCAAAACGATTTCATGAGTATCCCTGTCAGTTCATTTGCAGACTGCAACTTAGTGCTCAGTTTCACTGGGGTCTTGAGATTAAACCCGTCAAAAGAAATTGCAGCAAGCCTGTACAGGTCTAGTTTTTTCCATGACTTTTTTCAGTCCTTCTGTTTTATGCCTCTAGCATGCTAGAACTACATGTTGGTAAGACAATGTCATCCAGCAAGGCCTGGCACCGGCTTTTGTTGAACTAAGGGAGCTCTGCTCTGTGCCATTTGGACTGGAATCCTTGTTCACCTGGTAGGGTTTGCCAAGCTAGCACATGAGGTCACACACAAGTCCAAACAGTTTCTCTACCCTTGACCACAGGCAGTCCAGAACTGACATCCTCATGTTGCCGTATAAACCTATTTGTCACCAGGGATTCAAACAAACAGCAATCAAGTGAACAGATTAAAGACGCAACTGCAAACAATTCTATTTGCCATGGAGCAGAATTCATCAGGCATACAGTAAATAAAAGGAAAGAGGAAAGCCTAAGCGAAATACCCCGTATATTTTAAGCCCACATCTTTTATCACCCATTCCATCACAAAACTATGCAATCAAGGAGATTTCCGGTTGGAGTTGGGGAAGTTTTTTTGCTTTTTGGGGGGTTTGTTTTTGTTTTACTAGCTGTTACTTAAGGATAGCTGTGAAAGATCATGACCCCACTTCCACTCCTCCAGAGTCTGCAGGACTCTTTGATGTTTTTAATGTCATGTAGCCTCGTGGACCATATCACCTTTCCCATGAAAGCATAGGGATTATCTTTCTCCACTACTTTGCATTCTCCCTTACATGAACAAACAACACTTCCTGCTTTTCTTCCAACTGTGAAAAACAACTGCTTATATCATACAAAAAGCCAGTAGTCTTGTTTGTTAACCAGCTGGTTTGCTTTAAGTTGTTAGTATTTTTAAACATGCTTAAACATTTCTCTTGCCTATAAAAATCAAGTTTCCCAGGAATTTTCTAGAAAAATAGTTCTTACCTTGCATTCCCGACATCAGCTAGAAATGCTACAATAAATAGTTTCCTAGGCATATGTAGCTCTTTAATGAATTCTGCGTGGTACCCAAAAACTACAGCAATGCTAGTGTGAAAGAAATAGTTATTGGATTAAGATAGAAAGGCATATGGCTCCTTTTCATCCAAACGCAATACATGAAAGCCTAACCAGATGTGCTTATTTGAGAAAAACCAGAATGAGTAAACTTACAACCATATTTTCTAAGTAATGGTAATCTCATAGGTCTGCTTTTTCTTTAACAAGCTTTTCCACAACAGAAAAGTTGTTTGAGAAACAAAAAGCCATGGAAGATACCTAGTTTCTTCCCAGAGATCCACACAATAGCACAGCATTTCCTCCTTGGTGGTCCCTTTATTTTATTTTCTCTCAGTCATGCACAAAATGTTGATAAAGTCAAAGGATGAATTCTATCTCCTGTTCTCAGAGTTTTTAGGCATGAAGCAGCTTCCTGGAAAAGTTTATATATTGAGGGATGTCTGGACCTATTGGATTCTCAAAACAAGACAGTGCCAAGTGATATCCATTAAATTTAGGTCATACTCATCTATGGGAACATGTCCTTCAGTAAGGAGGATATGCAGCTCACCACACAACCATACTTCCCACTAGACTGGTGATGCAGATTAGTGCTTCTAAGACACAGGTGGTTTAAAAGCTAAATCTCCTTCCTGTATAATTTTTAAATCCATTCTATAACTTTTTTTGCTGAGAAGAAAACTATTGTGCTTACTTTGCAAACAGAATGGCACCTGGTGACATTTCTTCAACAGCTGCCAAGCAAAGATAACTATAGTCCCAGGAGACCTTGGATGAAGATTATTTTACAGGAAGATCAGACCCTTTCTATGTCACAGTATGTCTGGAGAGCACTCTCTGTATCTCTATGACCATGACATGTGTGAAATTAAGTTATTCCACTGCTATTTGGAAGCCCAGATGAAGTCCAGGGTGCTCCTCAAACCCAAGAGCCCAACTGCTCCAGGACAGGCCCCATGTCATCCTGCCATTCCCATGCAGATTGCATCACCAGCCTCTTGTACAGTCAGACCTTACACAAAACTAAAGCTCTTGCTCCTGCCAAACCAAAACTTTGCCTCCTTATTTTCAATATAACAAGTGTAGCAACAAACCAAGCCAAAAGAAGAAAGAAATCCCCTGCAAATGCACCTGATCAAAGGTAAATAAATACATAATCCTGGCACCAGGTCTTGAAGGCCTGATGGTGCTCAGACTGACAAATCATGCCAAGCAGGAAGTTCTGGGCTTCCACCAAAAAAACTTCATCCACCCATCAGGAAAACAAAGAACATCTGAATCCAAGCAGCACCACTTTAATTGGCTAGATATTAAAAAAAAATAATAACCCACAGTAGAATTGCAGTGAGGCCAACATAAGTAAGAACAAGAATGAACTGACCTTGACATACGCTAGGTAATGATCACACTTTTCCTGCATGTATGACAGCTGTAACTTCTCTGTGATCTGCCCCACTGTCTCTCCAGAAGTCACAAAGTAAACTCTGGGTTGCTGGCTCTTTTCCTTCTTTGCCACATCAGCAGTCAAGTTATAATTCAAACCTGTTTTAAAAAGGAAGAAGAAGAAAACAAAGGATGTCAGTGAACAATAGTTATTTTCTAGACACCTATCAATGGATCCTGTTGCCTCGGGGCATGTGTGCTTGAAGAAAGGTCAACCCTTGCAGGCCCTCAATCAATCACTGAGTTTCCTGTGGCTGCACAAAACCAAATCCAATTACTAATGTACTCCAAGGTTTCGTGTTGCTACATTCCCCAGCCCATCCTTTCCCATAGGAAATGATGTATAAAAATACATCTAGACACACACGCTTAATGAACAGACAAAAGAAACAAGAGATGTTTAAACTACGTTGCTAACAGAAAAAGCACAAACACAAGACCAGCAGCAGCGTCAAGCTTTGTTTTTCTTCTAGAACAGCACAAACCATGCAAATGTCAACCAGGATGCGGCACTTCCTGACAATCCCTTCTGTTATTTGCAGTCACCCCTGCACTGAGGCCTTAACTAGAGGTCGCTGCCTTGCACTCGCCATCTGCCCCTTTTAGATGTTAGACATCCTTGGCAGTTTATAGAAAACAAACCCAGGGACTCATGAGCTAGATCTCTGTGAATCCTGTTTCCTGCTGGTTTACAGAATAGGTAGCTTAACAAAGTCTGTTGGTTCATGACTGGATGCATCTGTGTCCAAAAGAAAACTTGTTACCTAAAGTAGTTGCACAGCGATTGAACAATCCAAGCTGACCAGCCCTTTCCTTTCAGTAGATGCAAGAACAACAGGAGTAATAAAACTGCACAGAAGCACAAATCCTCATTCTGCTGCTTTCTACAAACAAGGGTAACACAGGCTGTGAGGTCCTTTCACTCACCACAGACCACTGCCTGTATTGATTTCAGCTGTTATCAAAGCAATAACGGGACTACCATGAGATTGGCTCACTAGAAATGGTTTAATTAATTGAAAATCTTCGTAAACAGCACCAGCTCTTGTGTTGATTCCTTACATATCTAGAATGCTTGCCAAATTAGTCCTTCAACTTTTATTTATGTTTTCAGTACTAAATGATTGATGCCAGATATTATGCTCCCTTTAAATGTAAACTATTTTTAAAGCCATGATTTTGTAAATAATCAATGTAAATGTAACACATTCCTGGACTGAGGTCTTCTATGCCAAATTTCAGCAAGGGGCCTTTGCTGGGTTTTGGTATGGTTTTATTTGGTTTTCTAGTGGTGGGGTTTTTTTTAAATCAATGAAAATCCTGGTCTCTTTAAATTAACACTGCTGCCAATGCTATCACTCCAATCATGTCTCACCAAAATTCCACCACTTTGAAGAATTTATTTAATGATATTGTAAAACTTGGTGCAAAAGTCTTTGTGAACAATCACAATTCACATAATTCAAACCGGCCTCACTTCCATGTGCGCTGCGTTGCATTCTGACGAAAGGCTCACTCAAGTTCACGTAATGCAACCAGAGACATGCCCTAGATAGTAAGAAAAGCCACAGCTGAGGGACCAGCCTAACTACCATCACAGGACTCCACCTGAAATTTTTTTTTTTGCTTGCTTTTGGCAGAATAACTTGCTTAGAAGGATAATGCCTTGAAAGGGCTTGAAATTCTGATAAGCACAGCACCAAGCACAGCACCAAACTCTCAGTGAAGTGGTGTTTGCTCAGTCCCATTAAAGAACACCTAAACAGAAGCACAGGGTTTAGCCTTTTCAAAATCCCAGGAGTTTCTTCCTTAACATGTTTTTATTTTTTAAAGTGTGTACATCCCACACCCATCCCCAGCTGTCTCTCTCCACTTTCAAGACCTCGCATGCACAAACACATGCTGAGATCCGCACCGGCACTGCAAGAATAAAGACAAGAAAAGCCATTAGCAAACCAAGGCCCTGCGTAGGCAGAGGCAAAAAGCCTCACAGGGAGACACAGCCCTCTTCAGAGGAGGATCACCAAAGGAAGGCAGGGCTGCAGAGCTTGCAGGGGCTCCTGGGGAGGCTCAGAGGCTCTCCGAAGGAAGCACGACACGGTCCTGACTCTGAACAACTCCTCACTGCAGGCGTGGAGACGCATCCCAACGCGAGCCCCGTACCAGGCCTCCAAGCAAAGCAATCCCAGCTACTGTCACTCTGAAACAGCAGTGGATGTTTTCAATCAAGCAGCACAGTTCCCGTCCTCCCCCCTGCCTCCCCTTTATTTTGACAACTTGTTTCTATGTTATATCCAATGATGTCACATCAGTGGAAAAACTGAAATATCATGAGTAAGGTGGTTTTTTTTTTTCCCCTCCCCAGCTTCTCTGCTTCCAAAAAGCAACCAGGGTGGGGAGATAACTGGCCAAATTTAGCACTGCTGGTGGTATAAAATTCCTCCTGCTCACTCCAGTAGGAGATCGGGAGGAAAGTTTTCGCTAGCAGATTAACTCTTCCAGGTAATGCCTTCAATTAGTTGACCAGCAGCTTTAAGCAGGTCTGGTTAGAAACGTTTCTGGGGATCTGCCCACCCAACTTCACACGATCCAGATAAAACTTTGGCATGGATTTGATAAGCTCAGATGAAGGGCTTGATTCTTCTAATGACTACTCCTTTTCCATAACTAAAGTTAAATGCTTAAAAGCTTTGATAAGCTCCCTCTGATAAGTTTTTGGTCATACCTGCAAGAGGACCATTAGCCAGCAGACCAGGCAAGTTACTCCAGCCTGTAACAGATGCCCCGAGTAAATGGTAGCAGGCATTTTATAACGGATTTTCATCCTAAGTGGCACATATGTACTCATGATGCAAGAGTTACCCCCTCACAGAGCTGAAGGCAGCTGTGAAGCAGAGAAGAGTGAGGAGGGATTGAAATCGGGCAGCAGTATCCTGTAAGATAAAATGGGAACTACAGCTGACTCTGCTAATTGGAGGGGCTACACACCCCAAGCTGCCCCCAGCACATCCCTTTGTCACCCACTCAGATGATGCTACAGCATACAAAAAACTTGGCAGGGTTAAGCACATCTGTAAGTGCTTGTTAAACTACTAGCTATAGTACTGATTCACAGCGGGGTAGGGGAGGTACCACATGGAGAAAATAAAGAATGTACTCATAACAAAAAGCCATTGGAAGAGGAATATGTGTCTTCATCATCTCTACCAGTAATTACAAGGAGCAAACAATTCATAAACTTTGTTTGCAGAGAAAATTTTTAAGGAACAAAAGTATTCAAATAATTTGCCCTAGCAAATGACAACGTACATGGGACACTCCCACCATCCTCCTCCAAAAAGCTTTCCTCTTCCTCTCACTTCAAATCCTGTCTCACAATTTTGTCCCTAGCTTCTAAGTAGGAAGCCATCCTCGCTATTCCATACACTGAACAACACCATGTCCCTACAGCACCCCTGCTTCTGAGGCATTCAGAGCGTAGCACTGACTCAGGCCTTCATCCAAGCAGACTGCAAAAAGGAGAAACAGACAGAAACAATATTCCTGCCCCAAACCACAGCAGGATACAGGTATGAAGTTTGGATCAGGCATGTTTCTTCAGTCCTAGAAACGCATTCAGAGTGAAATTAGCAAAGAACCTGTTATCCCACACCAAATTTCACACCAGTCTTTCAGGTGACAGTATTTGGGACACGAGGACTACACTAGAAATGGATCAACACACAAGTGATACACATCTGAAGTAAAGAGTACAGGAGAAACTCTGAAGCAGTTTCTAATGCATCTGCCTAGCTCTAGTCAAATGCCCCAAACCCTTCATTTTCATAGCCACTAAAAGTCACCTAATTCTCTCACTGGTACTACTATTATTGTAGAGGAAATTATCCAGACTCTAGGCACAAGTTTACTTCCATTCTCCTGCAGGGATGAATGCAGAAGCAGCACTTGATGCACTGAGATGCCAGCAGCCTGTTTTCTTGTTCCGGTCACCCAGAGGCACATAGTCTGAACAGGCTGAAGCCTGCTCCTTCAGGCTAGGAAGGGCCTTTCTCTCATCTCTGCCTTTCCTGCAGATACAGACCCCAGGGATGACAAAGCAATGGCCCTTCAAATGAGGGAGGAACAGCCTGAGTGGGATTGATTCTGAGGTAAAAGAGTGAAAACTTAAAATGTTGTATTTCTCACACATCCAAGACGTGGCAGAGGCTGTCTCTGTCGGTGGGCGTGTGAGCAGACACTGGGCTCTCCAGCAAGCACTGCGGCAGAGCGAAGGGTCAGACAATGGCTGGCACACGGCACAGAGCACATGCTTCACTTGGGCACTGCACTTTTTTCAGGCAAAAACATTTCAGCAATAAATTCATACTTCTGAAGACTGTAGTCTGCAAACAGTATCCACAAAATGGATGGGAATTATACTGTCGTTGGCAGTATCAATAAACACAGATCCTCAGATAGCTGTTACATGGCCAGCAGTATTGCAACTACCACGAGAAGGGAAAAAAAAAAAAAAAAAAAAAAAAAAAAAAAGAGCGATGGGAAGGTTTCTGTGGAAGTGTGAGGAAGTGCTAGATGAAGTCAACTTTCCTTCACACACCAGTTAACAAAATAACCACACTTTCAAATCAACACTGAAGACATGCATTTGCCACAGAAGAATGCTGCCTGCACATTCAGCTTGACTACACTGCGTAGCAGATGACCAACTTCAGCTGCCTAAAAGCAAGAGCAACACCCAGCTTTTCACCAGTAAGCAGCAGTCTTGAGCATCCGCAGGGACAAGCCTGTGGGGAGCAGCATTCCTGGTGAGCCCTGTGTTCTCACTGCCTGACTTAACAGACCACCACCAAAGATGAGACGAACCCAACACTTTTAGCCACAAAACTTTGACGTAGCATTTTAACACCTCCATATGGCTTTCAGAATCCAAACTGGACAACAATGTACTTACAGGGCTATTCTATTTTTTTCCTCACATTTAACCATGCAGGAGAGGAACCCTTGCAATATTTCCATGAATTGTTCCACCCTTTTTTTAGTTGATACTCTTCAACTGCAACATAATTAAAATGGCCTGTCTGTTAGATTACAAACTGAAAGCTTATCTGAGATATTTTATCCAAATCATATTCCCAAGGGGTTTTATACAGTGAGATAGTTCTGGCTGCAGTGTTTTTAAGACAAATCACTTTGCTAGAAGCATTGTATAAAAGGACAATGGTTGGAAGTTTTATAATCATCTACTTAATAGTGAAAAAATTCCTTGCAATGAGATGGATGTTACTTGCCAAAGAAGATGCACATGTGCTTTCACCACAATAAATCATCAGGAGTACAGTTTGTATGACAACACAGGGGAATTCAACTGGCTCTTGCAATACATGGTGAACAGGAAAACATGTCTTTTGCAAAGAAGGGGAACATATTTAGATTGGGAAAAAAGGCAGCTCACTTAGGCACGGGTCTAGAGATATGAAATCAAAGCAAAAGAAACATTTTAAACTACCCCCAGGAACACAAGAAAACCTAGATATTCAGAAAATCTATTCAATAATTTTCAGAAAGGAATTAACACCCCTGGATCATTCAGAAATAAGCATTTTCTTAACTGATAGAGTAACAGACAGTAAAAAAAAAATACTTTATCTAGGCATGTATTTGTCTGCTGAAAGTCATCATTTACAGGGAAGGAAAATAGAAACCGAAGTCTCAGTTGCACCAATATGTTAGAATTCAGAGGAATTTTAAATTTAGTAATCCTACTTTTTTGAGCTGTTTAGGTAACAGTGACAAGCTGCAGAGAGCAGCTTCAAAAAGCAGCTTGTAGTTCTCGCTCCACTTGACTGGCAGGAGAAGTAGCAAGAAGTTTTATACTTCTCTGACTCATTTAAAATCCAAATACTGTGGCAGGCTCTGCATACTGGGATACACAGATGCAACTCCCACCCTTCTTGGTTAGCAACTGGGAAAAGCTAGGGCACAGAGCAGAAGACACTGCTTCCCCCAGCTCCTCACCAGGCCCACTGCAGAGATGCAGCAGCAGTGAGGCTGAGGGATCTTCCCTGAACAGCACGCTGCAAGTCCTCTGCCATTCCTCAAGTATGGCAAAGGTAAAACATTGTGGCTGAACCAAATAAACCCAGACCTTACAATATTTAGAAATGTCGTACCTATCCCATAGTACTTCACATAATATCTAGGACTTGTAAGCATCAGGATGTAAAAGACATAATATTTCAATGCAGCCAAGATGTAAAGGCTTCCACAATTACACACCTTAGACAATTCCATTCACCCAAGAAACTCCACGTGTTTTATAGAGATTAACTAACCTGGAAGATAGTCTTGCCGTCAGTAAAATACTGGTATATTTATAATCATCTTACAGATAGGTAGACTGATGCACAGAAAAGGATTTGCTCACGTCTGGCAGGAATTCAGATTTCTAGATCTCCATTTCAAGAGCTCCTTGTAAACTTTCAAAAACTTAAGCTGGAGCAAGTCACACCTGCTTTCTGATAACACTGAGAGAGGATATGGATACAGAAATGTGTTCTCAAGAGGTAAACAGGGAATATGAATTTAAAAAGCATCAACTGCTTCTGTGTTCTTTGTCCCTGCAGTAAGCCCGAGGACACATTTCCCTCCTTTCACTGAGGAAGAAATTGTGCCAGTATTACATCAGCCTCATCAGAAGGTAAAACATGCCCAAGAAGGTTCTCAGGTAGCCTTCAACTTTCTGGAACTGCATAGCCCAGCTCACCATGAAACAACTTATTTCACAGAGAAGCTCCGTCACCGACTCCAAAGGGAGCCCTCGACCGCAGGTTGGCCTGCTAGCATGCCCCTGCCCAGCGCTGGCACAGATACCTTACCTATTTCTCCAGGAACATGCTTGCCACTGAAGCGAAAGCATACTGTGACATTGAGGCAGTTCACTGGCTGCAAGCCATCGTGGCACTGAGGAGCTGTGATATTGATGGAGGAGGGCAGGAAAATGGAGATGTCCATGGTAATGACAGGCCTGGATCTGGAGATCAACAGAGAAGTGGAACTGAGTGAGGGAAATTCTCAAAGGTCAATAAAGTAAATTTGGTAAATTGAACAATTTTAAGCAGACATGAAAAATAAGAGAGTGTATTTGAACTGTAAGATAAATTAGCATTTAACCCAGCTGGCAAGGACTACTGGTGACTGAATGAAAACCATGTCAGCTTGAAGTTCACTTCTCAGATACAGGCTGTAGCAGGCAGCTGGGGACATTGATAATACATAATAATAATCATCTCCAGCTAAAGTTGCATAAAGCCTTCCTCATGACTGAAGAGGATAACAAAATTAGGCAATGAAGAACAACAAGCTGATGCAAGTGAGAATGTTTTCTAAGCAGCCTGGTTGGTCAGGAACAGGTAGGCAGAGACCTTAGGTTTCCAGAGGATGGTCTACAGACAAATTTGTGACCTGAAAGTCAAGGGGGGAGCACAGGGGTAGAAGATGGGTTCATATATAATTTTTCTGACAGTGTAAGAAGGGCAACAGACACTACATTCGTGTTTTCTGGAGGAGGAAATGTTTGGCTAATTCCCTCCCAGTGAGTGGTAAGGATTGAATACTCTTTCCACACTGCTGAACTCTGTATCACTGCATTGTAAGCTTTCTACCCTTGCAACTCTAGCACCAGGTTACTGCTACAACTACTGTTGGCTGAAGAAGACCTCAGCCAGAACTGCAGAGCAAACCGAGTGCCATTTGGGGCCCAGGTGGGTCTCCTCTCTCACACAACACAGAAGCCCTGTCAGCTTGGTTGGGAAAAGCAGCCCAGAAACCCAGCCTCTCCTGAGCTGTTCCCAGTGCAGGACTTCAGCCTAAAAATTCACCGAGTGTTATTCTTTGTGGTTTCAATTCAGTACATGTTCATCATGAACATGTTCTTCCAAAACCAACCCCAGTAGTAAAAAATATGTGCAGCAACCAGCAGAATCACTTCTAAGGTAGTCCCAGCACCCATGCAAGGCCAGACCATGCAAGTAATCTACTTCAGGACTCTCACTCCACAAGTCACTTAATTTAGAGGCAGGGGAAAGGGGGGAGGAGAGAGCGGGGATTGTGGTTACACCTAATTCATATCGACTGGAACAAGACACATCAATCTCTGAAACAGCTGCTCAGACTCTTTACCACAGCCTGAAATAACACTGCAAGTTTGCATTCTGAGATGGAGGATGGAGATAAATGCTAAACCTAGAAATATATGCAATAATGGGAGGGGAAGGAGAAAGGATGAAAAAGAGTGAGCTTCCTAGGATCATTTCACACCTTTGAAAAAACTCTTTCCAAATGCCTGGGGAAACATAAAAGGATAAATGCTATAACTCATCTAGAAAAATATTTCTCCTAGAAAAAAAATAATTCTCCAGCCATGATGCACTGTGTGATTTTTCCTTAACGTTAGCTCACTTGGTTATTCACTGGGAAAAAAAAAAAATCAACGCATCTGTCAAATGGCCATACACACACGCGAGCAATACAACAACAAGATCCGCCCCAAGTCACTACGGCTTCCACCAAAGCCTTTAATATCACTTGGCAAAACTTTTGTTGGTTTTGGCCAAAGGACTTCACAAAGGCTTCTGGAGGGGTGAGGGGGGGGGAAAGAAAAAGCTGATTTCTTTATCCTAATCTGAATCTAAACAGCAAGAGGGACACGCTGTAAATTGGCAGGAGCAGCAATTAATTGGGCTGCCCACAAAGTCGGTTGGTAATGTGCTAATTTCCTCTGAAACACACACGCATGACTGAACGTGTGGACAGAGGTCACCACGCTGTTGCGATGCATGTTCTCATCACAGCAAGCCTTCCAGATTGCCTTCCCCCCCTGCAAGTAACAATGCAGGAGAAAAATGCAGCTTTCTTTCTAGCAGTTTCAGAGATGTGGGGCTGCAAGACCTCATCTGGGGCCTGGCACACCTTTTCACAGAGGCAATCAGCTTCCTCTGCATGCATCTTGAAGGAACAGAAAATTCTTCAGAAGACCCGACCACCTGCCATGCTGATCATCAGCAGCATTTCTTTCCCCTCTCCTTTTTTTTTTTGTTTTCTTTAACTGATTCAAATGGAAACAGAGCCAAGTTTTTCCTGTCTTGAACAGGAAGCAGTCTGTTCTGCAGCTCCAGCATTTGTCTTGCCAGTCTCACCACACCCCTGCATCTTCCATTAAGATGCAGGAGTGTCTAGTGACTTCTCCTTCTAATGACATCTAGGTATTGACAGGATTTTGCTTTTAAATATTAACAAGTGTAACAACGGAGCTACTGGCAAGATTCAAGCTTCCCGTTCTCTTCCCTAGGTCTGTGCATCTAAAGCCCCACTCTAACTCTCCACCTGCATCATGTGGTGAACCAAGCTGTCACACCTCTCTCCATCAGATGAAACAAGCAATTGCACTTAACTCTTAACTACACTTGAAACAGCAGCCCAAATCCTGAGTGCATTGAAAATGTCTCCATATTTCATTTCCCTGAAGACTCCTATTTCATTCTGCGTCCCATTATAACTTGCAAAATTACATCCTGGCAACCTTACACAGCTGGCTTTTGGCTCAACTGCATTCCCTCAAATCATAATTTATTTATTTTATGTAAATGTAAGAATAATAGAAAAGCAACCTTTCTAAAGAGGCCCTGAGATGCAACACATTTCCTTCTGGCTCTAACCCTTTGTTTTCTTCATAGCCTTAGGGGTCCTACTTATTGTCATCCCTCACTATGCTGCTTAAATTAGATAGTGCATTCTTTGACACCATCCATGTCTAAGGTTCTGCTTAAAAAGTAATCCAGCTTGCTTCTTCTGACCACAATAAACTAGGGAGAAAATTGGAGGGGTGGGGGACTTAGATCACATAGGATATAAACAGAAAACAGATGAAAACAGCAGATGAAAAAGACATTCATCTCACCTCAGAAGTACCACATTGTCTGACAAGAAGGCTCCAACAGTCATATCTGAAATTTTTGTTAACATTGAAACAGTTACAAAGGAGGCATAGACTTCAGTTCTCTCGAATTAGTTGTTAAATTAGAGAGTATATATCTAAAAGAGCATTTTTATGACTTAAATCAGCCAGTTGGTCCCTTTAAATATCATTATGTCATAAGTATTGTAACTGGAGGATTAAGTCTGTGATGTTACTTTACTTCTACTTCATTGTTTGATTTTTATTATTACGATTATATTATTGACTTTTTTTTTTAAGACTGTCATCATGACTGAGCAGCTTCCAAGAAACTTACAACCTTGGCCAGATACTGAAATCCTCTACTTTAATATCTCAAGACTTTGTCATGACTGTGGAAACACCCGAATTAAGCAATCGGCTCAGATTCTTAACAGGAGCTTCAAATAACAGAGGCCAAAGGGAAGAAACTGCTCAGCTTCATCAGCCTCCTGCGATGGCAGGAACCAGCAACCTGGAAATTACCAGCTCTGCTGTTTTCTGAGCCTGCTGGTGCGTCTCCCCGGTGCTCTCACTGCCAAGTAGCAGACATACCTGGATAACCATTGCCATCCATATCGACCCCCCCCGATAGGGACTGGCCGAACATCCGCAGCATCGGGTTTACTGTTTGCCCAGACAGCTTCTACAGCAGAAAACACAAAGTGAAATCAGTCAGTAACGCAAAGAATCCTCTAAAAATCAAAAAACAACAAACCAAAAACCTGGTTTTCACAGTCACTGGGGCTCTTTTCTGTTGGGCTGGAAGTGCCACACATCTGCAGGCTTGCACTTCACCCACGCAGCCCTGAGCAGGAAGGCTGTTGACTGCAGGAAGCCCTTCTGCTCTGGGCTAGGAAGAGGCCAGTGTTGACTTGGATTAAAAAACACACCTGCATTACAACCCTCATGCAGACCCAAGCAAAATAAAGAACACATCAAACAGATTTCTTGGGGTGGAGGGAGGAAATTTAACTGCACCCTAGAGTTTTGGTTTTGTTTTTTTTTTTTGCATTACCTTCATTTCTGTAAATAAAAGTTTTAAGCGGCATCTTAACAAAAATAATGATCAATTGAAACAGAAAATCCTGAACAACCATTCATTTTCACAGAGTTTGCTAGCATACTCAAAGTCAAAATGATTAATTTTCATCCCACTCGGAAATTCTGGTTTCCATCAGCTATTATGCAGTATTTTGTGTCAGTTTGGAAGCTGTATCTCATTTCTGCCTCCCCAGTGCAAAGATTAATTAGCTTCTAACATAGTTTTTTCTTTTTTAATTACTAACACAAAAGCTTTCTCTAAACGTTTTGAATTGTAAATGCCTTTGTCTGAAGTAAATTACTATATCAAAACTCCCTTTTTTCTAAGGTGGCAATCAGATGTCTCCCAGCTCTCATTCGTTAAGCTGGGCCACCAATGCAAAACCTGAACTCAAACCAACATCTAACTGGAGAAGTTACAGACAGACAAAACCTATCCCACAGTGTCATTTTGAGGCTGTTGGCTGTGCTTCGCAGGTTGTGACATATGACAAGCTCTTCTTGGCCCTCCCCTAAAAGGACACAGTATTGGACAAAAGGTCAGACAGGAAATTCATGGAAAAAAAGACAAGTTGAAGGGAAGAAAGATATCCTGCAGTCCTGACAGCCAGTTTAATGGCGTAACAGTGCTCCGCTGCACACACATCTCCTTTTCCTACTCGTGGGCAGATAAGATTAAGACAACTGGAAGTAACTTCCTCCCCACATTACATATGCATCACATTTTTAGGGGGTCCCAGTTAGGGTGGTAAATCCCTCCTGCAAACATCCCAGTGGACATCTGCAGGCTATTACAGCCCAGAAGGCAAGAGGTGTAACATCAGGCCACAAAGCCAATTAAGCTGCTTCGGCTCATGGCCACCACTAAAGCTGCTGAAGGGATGTGAGGAAACAACATTGATCAGCACTTTAAATGAAGAGAAGAGGCGGGGGAGCTAACAAAATGAAAAGGGTGAAAACGTATAACCCTGCAGGCCCCCCCTCCACCTCTCTCAGTTTATTGAAAAAAGGAAATCCACGGTGTTAAGATGGCTCAGGGGTATAGTAATAAGATACAAAAAGGCTTTCACCTCTGGGTTCAAATCCAGGGCAGGTAGGTAAAGAGCTGAAGTTGTTACACTGCTTTTTTGGTTGCACATAGTGAACCCACGGTGTGTCTGGTGCCCTGCAGCAGACACTGGGAAACAGCACAGAGACACTGCCCATAAGTGGTGCCCCCTCGGTGCCTCAGGACACCAGGCAATGACATGAACACTACCAAGAGTCAGTGATTACGGTACCCTGCCATCCTCTTGAGCTGGGCTTTGTCCCACTGACCAAGCAGAGAGGCATGCGCCGTGTCTGCTGTCCTTGCTCCAAAGGGAAAGGAGAGAGTGTAAGCAGGATGTTTAATTTCCCACCCTGCTGACCTAGCCTCCTTCAAAAATGGAAAATTTTCTCATGAATGACAAAAAAAACCAAAATCTGATCCTTTTCAGCAAGAGCTGGAAAGCTCTAGGCTTTTCAACAGGCAGAGGAGAACCTCCCAAGCAGTGGGTCTCAGCAAGAAAGGGGCAGAATCCTCCACATGTCACACATTAGTGCATTTTAGAAGTATCCATAAAGAGACATTTAACTTCTTTTTTTCTAAAAAGCAGCACATAGCATATACATGGTAAAAGGAAGGACTGAACTTCTATGGTCTGTTAGAAGAGTCTCCAGTATAACCCCAAAGCTCTTTAATTCTGCTTAAACTGATTTATTGTGAAGGATCCCACCCAGCAACAAAACAAAACAACCAGAACTTCAAATACACGGAGGGAGGGAAGATTCAGGCTCTCTGAAAAAAAGAAATGTGCTAGGCAGAGACTAGGGGACACATGTTGGACAGCATGAGCAGAAATTTATCTTCTCTACTGCCTGGCTACAGTAGCTAAATTGCACTGTGTCCTATTTGCACAAGATGCTCTAGCATATCCCAGCTGAGATTTTACTTCATAAGAATGGTCAGGGGAATGGCACCCAAGAACGGCCTTCTAATATAATGTCACATCACAAGGAGATGGCCAAAAAAAAACCCGCAGTACCCCTTCCTTCTCACTAAGCCTGCTTCTGCAGGAAGAATGTGCAACTCCCAACTCTCCACTGGCCTCTCCATAATTCATATGCTCAACCTCTCCAGGGTTTTCATTTCTCCTCTGAAGCAGTACTATCTCTAAAAACTGACATGCAAACACCAAGACATCATTTGCTTCAAGAAGGAAGCTACAGCTGATAACTGTAACAAAAGACAGTGAAAATTATCTCCTAACTAACATAACTTTACCCTACAGCATAGATCTGGACAAACTTCGGGAGAAGCAAATCTTCAAACCAGGACTGAAAAGGATTATGACCAGGCTACCTATAAAGGGACCCCTAAGTATGGTTTATTTCTGCAGGCACTGGGAAAGTGACTTCAGGTAGCTATCATAAACAACAGTGTCACATACCATAGAGTACTGTGGTACAATACCATTGGCATCCCCGTGGTAAATGTACACCGCTCCTATGTAGTTATCCTCCTTAGGCGCTCCAATGGCAACATCTGTAAAATGGCACAGATTATAGAAATTTCACAATCCATCCCATTAATCCAACTTTTTCTCAGTTTTAGAAGCCAGCTATCCATAGGAAAATAGCTCCCCATGATGAAGATGATCAGCAGCTCATGTGAATCTGGCTAGAAGAAACTTGTTTGATTTAATGAAGAGCTCATGTTAAGAAAAACTTTAAAAAATACACAAATGTATATGAATTTGTACACACGTGTGGCTATGTTGCGCCTAATTCAAAACACGTGCTTGTTATGAAAATGTGTGTTTATTAACTAGCAACTATGCTCAAAAAGTTAATTTAGAATCCTTTCACATCAAAATCTCCAACCCAGGGAATATCTGCTTTGTGAACCAAGACAGCATCGGCAAAACAATTATTGTAGGACTACGTTAAGTTTGCTTGAAAATCCAAGGCTCAAAATTGAGGCTGGGTATATTAAATGGATAGGCAGGAAGAAAAAAAGGTTGCCAAGGGTGCATTTTTAAATTATATTCGATCCTATTTAACTGCAAACTTCTACAGAAAGAGTGATGCCACCTCCCATTTTTCTCTCCTAGTTGGATCTAGTGACTACACAGGTCCTAAAATTAAATTCCTCCCGATGGTTTCATACCCACAGACTGATCCAACTCATTCTGCAGTCTCTCCATCACCACAACTGACCCACAAAACCAGCATCAAGAACACAAAAATGCACGTCCAAGTGCAAATGAAGAGCATACCCACAATCTGTGAGGGCAATCTGCAATGAGGTTGGGTTAGCTTAATGGGATACTGTGCCCTGAGTGGCCTGGAAGAAATAAATTCAGGCACACACCGACTAAATCGGCCTTTGTTTAGAAGTCCTTGATCTGCGCTGCCAGAAATCAGGGCAGAAAAGGTGCTAGCATCAACACTTTGCTCTCACCTATTGCTATCACAGCATGGGGCCTCATACCAAGCGGCCTGCGAAAGGAGCAGGGGTAGAATAAAGCAAAGGAGATAAATTAACAGAGTACATGCTGTCAGAAGTGAGAAGCTATTTCTTAATTACACTTCATGATAAGTAACGTGATTATGTCAGGAAAACTGGAAAGGCTTGAAGACATAAGGAAATGGGGAAGAAGAAAGAAGTCAGACATAGGTTCCTGTTTTGTTCAGGGCATGGGTATCTAAAGCCTTTTATAAACTGTACAGGGAAGAAGAAAATGCAGCAGCAAGGAAAGCAAAGCAATATTAATGAGAGTGGGGTGCAAGCTGTGTGGACATGGACTAAACCCACATCAAGGACAATCAGCTACAAAACGCTTTAGCAGACAAATCCTACCCAAGCTCATTTATCTTTAGCGTGAGCCCAGGTGCTGGTTGGGTCCTGAGGAGCAATGGATGCCACACAGCACCCAGCCATGCAGAGAGACCGGCCGTGCCACCAGCCCTGCTGGCATTTCCAGGGAAATGGCCCAGGAGGAAATCACACCAACCTGAGAAACCATCGTCATCAATGTCGCCAAGATCAGCCATGCTCTCCCCAAAGTGCGCATTGTAGGTGCCGTCACCGTCCAGGACGAGCTGCTCTTCCAGCACTCCCTAGCAAGTACAAAATAAAACAGGGTCAGGGAAATGGTGAGAAGCCTGGATGAGGTGAGCCCTGCCTGCAGGAGCTGCCCATGTGCTGCAGGAAGCACCTGGGGCAAGGCTGCAGTCTTGTAGTTTTAAGAGGGGGGGGGGAAAAGAAGTGCATGAGTTATATAACTAAAATGCCAAATTAACTAAATGATAACTCAGTGATGTAACTAACGCAGTCACAGGGCTTGGTGATCTCCTGAAGGTTTCCAAATGCCCAGAGCTTGTTCTGCTGACAGATTATATCCGAGGAGTGAAATCCTCAGCCCAAGCTTATTCAGCTAAACCCCAGCGAGTTAAGGAGAAATTTCCCCTAAGCAAAGAACCTTTGGGAAATTGGATTTGAAAACCTTTTAAGTATCAGATAGAAGGATTAAGGCAAGTCCTCAAAAAGCCTCCTGAAATGAAGAATAAGGAAAGGGACTTAATGCAATAAAAGAAAGTTCAGAATAAAGTAGCTTTGTACTCCTACGCCATGAGAAGCCTTATATGGATCTGGTATTTCTTGCCCACCCACTTTCTGGTCAGATACATAAGCTTTAGCTTCTTGCAGTCTTCCCTCAAGGGGAAAGGAACATTTCCACAAGAAAACAAAATTTAGTTACACAATCCAACTTTGTACCCACCTCAAGGGTTGTTTTGTTTTGTTTTTGCTTCCTTTGTGAATGAGAGTAAACTGCCCTCTGGAACATGTAATAAAATCTTTTTCTTGGCTGTGGGATGTCGCTGACTTCAAGAAAATCCCACATAATGAAATTGAAACACAACAGAGAGGAGACAGGCAGGCCTCTATGTGCAACTCATTTCTCTGCAGTCCTCACAGGAAAGGGCAAAACATAAGCCTACTAAATCGAGCATCACTATGTATGCTTGTGTTATAACGCAGTTTTCTCTGATCCGCTGCAACAACCTCTTAATCAATGGTGTTTGCAGAATGAAACGGAGTTTAAAATGTCTAAACCCCAAAATAAACCCCACAATCCTGCAAGTCATTGTCCTGCAAGTAATTATTGCTGCAGGAGAAACTCCTACTAGTTTCCTGATTGTTTTATAAAACATAAAAATTAACTCATGCGTGCTCTCACTGTGAGCAGGAAATATTGGCTATTATCTGCTTGGCATTCTGGGCCCTATCCTGAGGACCCAGCAGCAACACTGCAATATAAGAAGTGGGACAACCTGGGGATCAAATTGAAAAAGTAAAGCTCATTTAAAATAGTGATAATAGGAAACTAAACTACACCAAAATCAATTCTGAAGTCTCCCAAAGGCTGCTTATAGGACTTGTGGTGAATGTTCAGTCTAGCACAAACAAACTCTGTACATTAAAGTTCACAAAATACTGATGAAGCAAACCAATTTCATTTTAGCCCATAACAACTCCTCCTTAGAGACAGCAGGTTTGAGACTTGAATATTAAATATTTAATAATACATAAACAGCCATTGTTTTCCTATAAATACAACATAAAAATGATCTTGTTTGGCCGATGCAAGAAAGTTCAGACTTTTCCAAGACTGTTGCTGGGTCATGTGAAATACAAAAGTACCCGCTCACAAGAACTTCCCCCTGCAGTCTACATATGGGACATAACATAAAGACAACAAGATTTCATTCTCTGGTTTCTCTTCACAAGGTCTCCTAAATCCCCAGACATTTGTGTTCTAATTTGTAGGTCCTAGTGACCACCCAAAACACAAAGAAAACTCTGTCAAAGCTGCTGACTCTTATTTGGTTTTGGCATTAAATTCATGTAAAGCCACAAATACCACCAAGTTTCAACATAAAACCAGAAACTTTCCCAGACCTCCTTGAAATATTCACAGCTCTGTGATGAATGTGGGCTGGTGTCTGGGAAACCATGATACCAGATGAGTTTTCCGTGACTTCATGCTCTGCTAGAGACATCCAGAGCCCCACTATTTGAGACATCAATTTCCATCCATGTAGTGCTGGAAGGACGTTAGTATTACCCTGCCCAACCCACACCCTCACCCCTTACCAAGTTACCTCCTGTACATACTCACATTTCCTCTGTTGATATAGACTGTGACTTGACCCTCATCTCTGATCTCAGAAAACATAGGTGCTCCGACCAGCAGGTCTGACAACCCATCAGAGTTCAGATCAACTGCACATAAGGAGGAGCCAAAGTAAGAGCCCATCTGTAACCAAGTCGAGTCACAACAAAGCATTCAGTATCTGCCCACACACAGGAGGAAGTCATTTAGGCATTTGTTGGGTTTTTTTTTAATTTCAAATGATGACTTGATGCTTTATCATTCACAAGCACTCCTACAGAGAGAGTTTAGGGGATAATTCTGGCAGGAATTAAACACTTTACTGTAACAGTGCATCAGCTTGGATGTTTTACCAACAGAATAAAATTTATACCTTGGGACACACTTAAGTGAGGCACTTAAAGAGCTTTTTTAGACTAGCTTTCACTTGTCAAATGCTTAAACCCAGAAAGGTGTGAAATAAGTTTCCCAAACCAAGACCTGGATAGTGATTATTCACACCCAGTGCCAGACTTCCTAAAGAGACATGAGGTCGGGTACCACATATCTTCTGGGGATACCTTAAAGAAATAAAGAAAAGAAAAAAGAAAAATAGGCAAGAGATAGGGTATCCATGAAAAGAGGCATCTAAAATTACCTCTTGATTATGGACTATCTTCCCCAACTCTATTCCTATCTATTTGTATCAGTCACCTTCAAAGAGCAGTACTGGTTGTGGGTTTTGATCATAGCCTTTCCTCTTATCTACTGGCAGGTGAGTTGACACCGAAAGACGACTTTCAATAAAAGCTTTTCAGCTGATACACGGAAAACCTAAGCCATTTTTAATCTCTAGTTATTACTGCTTGATAAAACTTAATTGCTTAATATATTAATTTCATTACATAATTTTTGATACGGGTTAACATTAAATGCTAATCGGCACTCACATTATGAATTTCAAAACCCATTTAAACACAAAAAAGAAACCGAAAGCAAGAATGATATTCCACCTTTATTTCATCCACTTCTGCTAAGGTACCACAAGGCATACTCTTTGAGATCAACTACAAACTATAGTCTCAAAATTAAAAGCAACTTCCAAAGGAAAAATTAAGCGATACCATTTCCTATTTGAAAGTTAGAGCTGTTTACATAGTGGGAAAAAATGAGGCTACAGAAATAATTATTTAGGTTAAAAAGAATGAATTACATTTCTTGCATGCTTTTGCATTCCTCACTGAGGATTTCTGACCCACAGCCTTCCATGCCTCTTACATTTAGACGCACGAGCCTGACATACTACTGGGCATAGCAGGAGATGGGCAGCAGCAGCAATTCTATTCTCTGCAGTCCATAAGATTTAAAAGTTGCTAAATATATGTAGTGGGGTGAGTTAAGGATAGAGTTTCAGTTTGTAATTCAGATCTTTGTGTTTGTGTGGGTTTAAGGTCAGACCTCAAACATCATTTGATTCCAGTTATTTTGTAGCTTAAGTTCCCTTGTGGATTTTGTATTTGTTTATTTTTTTTAATCCACTAAGGTTTTAAAACAAATTTCTCATGGGTAAGGAGCGAAAGTTATGAAAAGCATTTCACTATGTATTCAGGCAGTTTTCAGGGAAAGGCTATTATTTACTTAACTGCAACATGGTACATCTGTAGTGTGGGGGAGTTCATAGTGCTGTGAGAACCTGAAGTTTGTGCACTGAACATTTGTAACAGGGCACTGCACTTTCTTTTTTCTTGTCTGCAATTGATTTCTTAGTTCAGCCTCCAGCAATAAAACAGGGAAGGAAGAAACCAGCCTGCTTTTAACATCTGTCTAAGAAGAATGTCAGAGCAATGAACTTTCACACCACTGGGAAGGACGCAGCATTTTGTGAGAGCTCATTTCCAGGCAGTGCTTACTGCTGAGCATGTCTGGTTATATTTCAATCACAAAACAAAGGAAGGGTGATTTAGGACAGCCTTCTCTTTAAAATAAAATTCTCATTTGGATTTTAGAGAATTTGTAAAAGACAGATGTTACTGGGGAAGGAGGAGATGACAGCCCTGAAGTACTTGAAGTATGCAAATACTTCATTAGTTAAGTTACATATAACACAATTAAATTGAAAAAGTAGTTTTTGGCTGAGACCTGGAAACTTCCCGATAGCTCTGTTTATGAGGCTGAGGGATAGATCTCCAGGAGCACATCCTTAGGGATCTTTAAAAGTCAACAGGGAAAGAAATGAACAGGAAGCAATCAAACATAGGAGATGCCCTGGATGAACTGGGAGGTCTTTTCCTTTCAAGATGTCTGCAATTCTGCTAGCACAGAAGTCACACCAATCCACCCACACACCCATGCAGTTTTCCCCTATTCCAGGCATGTTTTTTAAAGATTGCAACTGTGGTTTTTTTTCAGGAAAAAAAAATAACAAAACATGCTAACACTCCCAACTTGATGATATAGTCAAACACTTTAGATCCTTCTGAGGGTGGCAAGTCTTTCTAAAGCCAGAAGTCACCTTTTTCTTCTGTATTTCCTCTTCTTAAAGGAGAACACAGGTGACGCCAGGTAAGGAGTATTGGTTCCTCACTGCATTACTCCCAAATAAGACATCTCTTTGTTGTTCTAAGACATCAGACCCAAAGAGCAAAATGCAGGACTGATTCATGGTGGGAAGAGGGAAATCGTCATATCCTGAGGCAATGAAGCTGCTCCTCCACAAAACAGCATAACTCTAATATCCCCCCTGTCACAGCAGTACACAGTAAAACAGGCTGGGGCTTTGCAGATTAAACTGAGCTCCAGGCCACCCACTTCTCCCAGTAATATCTACTAAGAAAACTCTGCATCTAGGCTCACCTGGCAACCCACGTCTCAGAATCCCATGTCTCAGAAGGCACTGCTACAGCGGCATAAAGCTGAAGAGAACCACTAGTGCAATTTTCAGCAAGATCTTTAATTTCAGCCACATGGACAGAGAGCAGATGTTGCAGTCATGACTGCTAGAGGAGAAAGGGCATACAGCTATTCTGTACCACAGCTATAGCTCTTCTGGGAGGATAAGGAGAGGGAGAACTTTCTTCACAACTCATGAAGCAGCAGAATGCAAATGATGCTCTGAGATGACCCTGCATCTACTTTCCCCTTCTCTCCCCTTCAAAAGAAAATACATACACATAAAAACTCACCTTTTTTCCTGAAGCCTGAAAAATCTTTACTAGAGAGCCTGATCGTCTGTCTGTTCTGAAAATATAAACCTGAAAAGCAAAAAAAGAAAAAAGTTAACCAATACTAACCATGAAGTATATAATGTTACAGCATTAGTGCTTCCTAAATAGTATCTAAATCATGATCATGGCCATGGCTATTGCCAAGATCCAATTTCATGACTTTATTGCTCAGTCTTCTTTTAGAGGACAAAACATAGAGTTCCCCATTTTCCTGATGAATCACAGGCCTCTTATCATGAGAAATGTTTGAATAGTATCTTGTCGCCTACTTTTTTGGTTCACATGTGTGTATATGCACATGTCAATATTTAAAAGCACCTAGTAAAGGAACTTTGCAACTCTCAAACAAGTGGCATCTGGAGACTGCCTGGAAATGAGCAGGGCAAAAGGCTCAGAAGGCATAACCCCATTCCCCTTCCCCTATCCAGCCTTCCCTTCTCAAGGACACGTGCCTGCACGTACTGCGCTGCAAACTTCACAACACTTTAGCAAAGGTCAGAGTAGAGATCCCAATCAGACCACCCAAGGCATCTGCACTGTTTCTGCCTGAAACAATCTGTAAATCAGAAAACTATTCAAACACGGCCACTCGTTGCTCTTTTCCACAGGAGAAACTGTTTAACCAGAAACTCTTGGGGAAAAAGGTATTGATACGAGTTCAGTAACAGATCTTGTGTCAAAATTAAAGACCTAAAACGTATGGCTTGTAGAAAGGGACTCCCTTTGGCGAAAAGGCTGGCTTGGTCAGCCTTTGAGACTCCTCCAGCGTTTGACAAGCTCCATCCTAGCAGGTGCTCAGGCAATTTGCAGGACAGAGGATCCCTTACTTCCAAGGCCACGTGGAGGAGCCAAGCACTTGACATTGTTGAATATGTGGCGAGTTATTAATAGGTGGCGAGACAGAGTTCAAAGCTGTTTTCAGCTGAGAACACAGCACAGATTTGCTGTGGACAATTGCTCTAGATATAAAGGATTCCCTAGGTTTTGCAGTCGAATGTATAGCAGCGAGAGCACATTGCCAGGTGTCACAACTCCAAACCCACTCTTATCTAATGATACTCTCGGTGACTTTGGAGAAATGACTCAGTTTCATTAAGTATCTTGGATTTACCTTCAGTGAAAAGGGTGTGACAATGTTAATCACTTTCTATCAGGGAAGTGGAAAGGATTAGCTTATTGGAGAGTACAGAAAGTAGGACAGGACTGCTTGGAGTATGTCCCGTACTCAATACCTCTTACCGCCCTTTTGCCACATGTTCCTGCTACCCACTTTCCATGCCAAGGGAAAATAACAGCAGCTTTTACAACTAGAGCAGTAGTCTTTAAACTACAAGGCCAGCTGCTTTCTCATGGATCTTATGTTAGCAGCTGGTTTTTTCCCCCTCCTTGTACAGACGTTGTATCTGTTCCATGGAGGCAACAGGTTGGAAGGAAGGTGCATTGTAGCAGCTGTAATAGCACCTGAGACAAATAAACTATGTCTTTCCCATGCACGTGTCCTCTCAGTAGCAACTGCACTCCTACCATATTCCACATGTCCTAGTCACACCAAATTAGGTGTATGTACCATGTTCATTGTCTATTTTTATACCATCTTCCCCAGTTGCACTGCTACCCTCTGGGACGTGGCTACCGCCAAAAATAATCTGCCTAAACCAAGGGCCATTGTTCCTCATAGTGGAGACCTCTCACTCCTTATCGTTATGACTCAGATACAACTGATGTCCCTATAGAGCAGGAGAGCCATGGGGAGGGAGATGGAAGGGGGCTGCAGGACATCTCTGTTCAAGCACACAGTGGCAGCAGGTTTTGAAAGGATTGAATTTTGAAGAAAGTGGGACAAAACCACATCCTTTACATCACTTCCCTCCCTCTCCCCACTCTCATTTCTCCACTTACATTTCAGAAGTGTGTAAGGGTCAACTGGCTCCCCCAATAGCAGCTGGGTACTTGGCACTGACACACCAGGCAGAGCTAACTCACCAGCCATTTCCATCTAGCCATTCACTTGCTTATGTCTCTGGGACATCAAACTTGTATATGCCTACAGGAAAACCATTTCTTTTTTCCTTCTCAAGAGACTATCACCAAGATTTCTAAGTACAACTGGCAGAAACCCAGATTCTAATTCACTAAACATGAAGGTATGAAGTTTTAAGAGGGATATCAAATCACCCAGTAAATAGCTTTTCATGCTATTAGGGGTGGTACTGAAACAGAAATACTGAAACAGTCAAATGTAGGAAGAAAACAATCAGAAGACAAACTCTCTTTTTCAGGATTTTAATTTCCAGGCAAGGTTTAAGTGATACCTATATGTTACAAATCCTAAACAAAAGCAGTGTGAAAGAAATGTTGCCCATGTCTCATTAAAATAACTAAGGATTGGCTGAGAGAGAGAGGAAAGAGATGGATGAGGGATATAAGGCACCAGGAGGGACAGGTAAAGAAAATTTGATGACTTCATCAAACTATCTCACCTCTCCCCTGCTCAGTGCTCCAAAACTACCCTGTAGGCAAAAATCTCTTGGTTTCTCAAACATGTGGGAACTGCATCAGTATTACTTTTTTTGCCCTGTTGCATCCGAGCACATTATTGTTTGACAAAAAGCCGCACCTTTCCGATGCCTCCATCCTGGGGAGCTCCTCCTACAACGTCCGTGGTAGTCGGCTGAGAGAAATGACCTGCTGTCACTGCATATCCTGAGTGGGAGATGGGGTGGAGTGGGAGAGGAGAGAGGATATAAATAAATAATCCTGAAAAGGAAGAGCCTGAGAAACAGGTCAGCCAGCTGGATCACACTCGTCAGGTTTCACTGCTCCTCCTGGGCTGCACATTGTTTACATTCAACAGCCATTCTGCTCAGGAATATTCTGCCAATATTACACTCAAAAGCTCACTGCAGTGCGAAGCAACAGTACGCCCTCCAGTACTCTTCCAAAAGCTGAGAGAAGAAAGGTGTGTGTGTGGAGCTGGGTGAGGGACACACAACGCAGGTACTCGGTAAGCATGAGTCCAGAAAGGGAAAGAACAGGCACACACAGACAAAGAAACTGCATCGCTGCAAAGAAAGTATCACGTCAAAAAGCAACAGTCCCACATCAACCAGACAGAAGTGTCCTCCTTTGGCTAAAATTACTGCCCAGGCAGGCTTGGAAAATTACATGCCTTTTTGGTTGGGGGATGGGGTGGGGGGAGAGCAGTAGGCAAAGAGGTCAAAGAAGTTAATGGCTTAAAAAGATCTTTGTTTTGGCAAGAAGAAAAATGGGAAGCTAGATCAAAGAAAGAAGGAGTGTATTTAAAAGAAGGAGATCAAAGATTCAGTCTTATTTGACATATTAAAATGATATATAATAATGAAAGAAGAGTAGAGTGCTTTCCTTCGAAGGCCGTCTTGTACTCGCCTTGCTCTTCTGCTGTAAATTATGAGGCTCTCGTCTACATGGTAAACACTATAATTCAGGTCTATCAGTGACAAAACCTATTTATGTCCTTAAATACGTATATATACGCTCCTCGATTACCTATCACCAAGCAGCATATTCCAAGTGGTATTTTTTAAAAAACTAAAGGTTAAGGGGGAAAAGAGAGGTCAGTGTGAATCTTTAGTCAAACAGTATCAAACTACTGACTGAAATGCCTTCTAGGTCCCAACGGTCTCAGGCACTGGAAAGTAGGTGGAAGCCTTCAAGTATTTTGGGGGCATTAACTGGTTTTAGAGCAAGTAAAATCTACTGAGTTAAAGATGTAGCCAACCCTACAGCCAATCCTTTCACAACCTCCTTCTGTTCCCAATGACTCACTTACATGGTGATATTCTTGTTGAAACAAATTTGTATCTGCAACATACATTCTGCAATTATGTGCTGTAACCATTTTAAAGGCAGGTGTAAGCAGACACGCAGAGTAACCAGTGACAAATAATTTGTCCGTCACAAGGCAAAAGCAGGAATGTAGGAGGCCCACTACCATCCAACCTGCTTTGCAGTTGAAATGCATTTTCTATATTAGTCAAAAAAATTATAACAAATGTTTTTTTTAAACAAGCAAACAAAAATTGAACATTCTGGGTACTTCTTTGCTTATATTTCTTTCCACGTGGGTAGCCTTTTAATTCAGATGTTCTTCCTTTCACACTTCTCATAAAAACACTCTACACTACCCCAAAAAAATCAGTATCAACTTTACAGCATTAAAGCCTTGAAATATGTTGTTGGACTGATCCATTCTCACAGTGAGCACCAGACAGCTGCTTACCAAGGTACGTGTACCGCCTGGCTATCACAGCATCATCATTGAGCTTGTAATATGTGTTGTCAGTAAGATTCAGTACTTTGACAGTTCCTGTCCAGTAATAAGATCCTGGTGCCCCCATGATGACCAGCTCCTACAACAGGAAAAACAGAAAGGGCGTGGGGGAAAGGATGGGCAAAAAAAATAAGTCACAATCAAAACTGGACAAAAGTTCATGCTTCACACAGTAATGTAGAAGGGACATGATATTAACTTAAAACACCATCTACAACAATCTCTATTCTGTGTGCATGTAGAGAGTATCCTTCTTCCCAAACATGGAGGTCACTGCACACACCCTAGAGACACACGGTCTCCTCTTTTATGGCGCACTTCTGCTCAGCTGTCTGCCACTTCGATGGAAGATCTCCCTCAGCTTTATGAACCATCAAACTTATCCCTGCTAACACAGTCCTCCCAAAAATCTCTCTCCACCTGCTGCCTTGCCCAACCATCCTCCAGAAGACCTTCATCAAGTGACAGAAGCACCCCAGCCCACCCAGACCCAACACTCAGCTACAGACCATGCCCCGATGCTGGCTGACATGTTATAGCAATCTGCATCATGAAGGATACAGCACAAAGGGTTTGGATTTTACTACTCTGAAGCTCAAGAGCTGTTACGCACTCAACAAGCAGGGTGGGCATTATGTCATGGTTGGAATATTTTGCCTTGCTCTGCCCTCAGATACACTCTGCTCTTTGAGAGACAATCTGGCTATATTTCATTACAGACACCCAGCATGATTCAGGATTCTAAAAGGCTAGAAATGAGGCAAAGTTGATCCAGCATCCAAAGGTAGATGCCCATGGATAATGCTTTTGAATCAAAATCCAAGGTACATTTGCATGCAAGAGAGACTGAGAAAATGTTGCCTCAAAGCATTCAGCATTCTTGTGGGGAAACCTTACTCCTGGATGTGGTTTTAAATACCTCCAGCAAGGGACCAAATCAAGCCTGGGGAGCATTAAGCCTAGGTAAGTTCTCCATCCCTGGAGGAGACATGAGACAGCTGCTTTGCCTCACATCTCCATTCAATGCAAGGCCATGGGTGGACTCCATCCTCGTGGGAAAGTGCTCCCACACCCAGAATACCTTTGGATGACCAGTTCCAGTCAGGAGGGATATGTTAAACAAGGGATTTTTCTAAGAAGACTGTGGGGACAGGGCTGCAAACCCAAGCAGAGAGCAGAACGTGCTCGGCAACAGCTTTTTTCCTTGGGAGAGTCCATGCCCTTGAGGTCAAGGGATCATTTACCAGCAGGAACCACTACCATCAGCAGCGCTGAATATATGGTAGGGGCTTGCCTGTTTGACCTAAAGAGCCATTTATCTGCATTTCCTGCTCAGTGAGCTGCCATCGGGCTGAAGCAATGAAAGTTCAAAGATATCTTTTGAACTAGGGTGTAGCAAAGGAGGATTTAAAGCATGGGAACAGAAACAGGCTGGAGAGAGCAGACAAGCCAGGAAACAGCTGCTGCTGGCTGAACATCCAGTTATCGGACAGTGCCACTGTGGCAACATCACCTGCCATCCTAGTTTACTCAGAAATCACCCTCTGCCATTTCAGAGAGGACACCTTTATTTGGCTTATATCAGCCTAGACAATAAATTCTGCAGAACAGTGCATATATATTTAGGAGTTGGTTTATTATATATGTATAATTTAGGCATTGGAATGGGCTGCCCAGGACAGGGGGGGAGTCCCCATCCCTGGAGGAGTTGAAGAGTCAGGTTGACCCAGCGCTGAGGGATCTGGTGGAGTTGGGAACTGTCAGTGTGAGGTTAAGGGTTGGATTGGAGGATCTTCAAGGGCTTTTCCAACCTAGATGATTCTATGATTCCATGAGCGACTATACACTTGACATGACAGTAACAAGGAGCCTGACACTGAAATAGCTTTTTTTTTCCCTTAAAAAAACAAAACAAAATTTTAAAAAAGAACAAAAACAAACCCAAAAAACCCTAACCCCGAAACATTACAAAAAAAAATCAATATGTACATACGGGAACAAATTCATCCTTCATATGATTAAAACATGACTGATAAACTTCAGTCCAGGAAAGACTATGGTCCAGTATTTAGAACAGTTCTGAAGCATATATTTTACCATGCTATTTTTTCTCTATCTTTTGTGATAAAAAGCTAAAGCAGAACTAAAAAAAGGTGTTTACCTTATGTATGTATATACATGTGCATATGTATATTCACACAGAAACATATACCTGCATGTAGACATACACAAACAAAACGGTTCAGGGAGGACTGGTTTACATCATCACTTAAAGTGAAGAGTTGATGTTAGACACAGAAATACCTCTATGCAAGTTTTTGTACACAATAAAATATTCCCTGAGGATGCTTCCCAGGAACAATTCATTCAATCTTGTCCACAGACATTGAGACACACACCCCCCTACATATGAAGCCCTGGGCAGGTGTGGTTCAAGATGCAGGCACCCAGGAGGCTGGACGAGGCAGGAGGGTGTTTGCTGGCAGGAAGGGACCACGCTCAGCACTCAGCCAGCTCTCCAAGCCGTACTCGGGGCTCCCCTCCTGGGGCATGTGGCAAGAGAGCTGCTCACCAACCCCGTCCCGGCCGTGCCCACGCCCTGCTCACCTCGGTGAAGAAGCCCGCGATCCCTGCCTGGCACGAGCCGTGCTCCTCCCCGTACTTCTTCTTGTACTCTGGATGGGAGAAGGAAAGAAAATAAACTGTGGTCATCCCTGGGACAGCACATGATCTCCACCTGAGCCGACACAGCGCGACACGCACAGCCTGGAGAGACTCCAGCATACAGGGCTCCTGGGTTTTATCAATGGCTCTGCCACCAATGTGCACCATGGCAGCACCCTCACACACACAGGGGGGCAATGCAAGGGGCCTGAAACTGGGGGGACAGCCAGCATGCTGCTAAACGAGTAGTACCACAGTAGCATGATAACAGCAGCAGCATCACCCCAGTAAAGGTGCATCAGAAGAGACTTCCACCTCTGGAATCCAGATCAGCACAGCTAGAAAGGGAAGATCAAAATGTGACGCAGATGCCTGTGTGCCACCAACCCTGCACTAGCAGGTTTAATCCTCAGGCCCATCACTACCTCAGAGAAATAAAGTGATTTTCCCCTAAAGACAGTCACCAAAGCCTCCATAAACATTTCTGGTGGAGGGATGCTTCAAGACACCAGCCCCAGGAGGGAGGTAGTGAGTGAGGAGAGGGTGCTGTGCTTCTGAGTGATCAAATGGTCTCATGTGAGGGATGCTCAGGTCTGCTGCTTGTCATGGCCACCTGCTCCAAGCTCCCAGTTTACAGGGGACCCCAACCACCATCACTATAGGTTTTGTTTCTGTGTTTCAGGTAGCAATTGTTTCTCCTATCAAACCTGAGGAATTTTTATTTTATCTTTTTGCAGAAGAGGAAAAAAATATTTTTAGAAATACATTAAACTGGGGGGGGGGAGGAACTAAGAAGAAAAAAAAAAAAAGAAAATCACTTTCCACCCTGCCTTAACCCAAACATTTTCAGTTTAGAAGCATTTGAAACTAAAGAGCTGTATCTGAACCTTTGCAGATTTTTCCAGAGCGTTATTTTCAAATATTTACCATACTAATGAGTGCCCAGCTTCAGCATATTGCCACTTCTTGCATATTACAGTAATTTAGGCTCCAAAAACATTCACCATATAGGCCGGTAATTGTGAATTTTTAAAATGTTTATTTAAGTAAGAACCATTAACTCACTGCTAAATTATAAAAATTTTACTGAAATCAATGAGCAGATTGCCTCTTTGGAACCAAGCAACTTCCTTTTTGTGGCACTTTATCTTATTGAAAATCAAAAGGAACTAATTATAAACTGCATTCTCACAGATGTTTTTCAAAATAGTGTCTGTTTAGAGATATATACACACACAGACACACACACACATTCCCCCTTGATATATTATATATAGTCTCTTCCTAACAATGTAAAGATGCTCAGATTGTAAAGAATTTGCTGAGGTCATGTCAGTTGCACAGGGAGAGGTTTAATTGGAAAGACCATGCAGAACAGTGACTTGATCCACAAATTACAGCCCAAATGCCTAATGCAAGGCAGGGTCCTGCCTTTGCTATGGCTGGATTCCCACCCTTGCATAGGATGAAATGCAGCAAGTTCCACATCTGTCTCACTCAGATGTTTTCACTTCCAGCCAAGTTTTTCCTTTACATGCTGTACTGAAGTGTGATCAGACCTTGCTTCTTGCCAGTTTTGCACTCAACTTACTGTAATTCCAAACAAAATGGTGCTAGTCGCGGTGCCCCTGGAGGTCTGGAAGTATCCTTCTGCCTCACCTCCTAACCTCGGCAGGAGGCTTTTGTAATGCTGGAGCTCAAGGCTTTAGAGACTGCCTTCTTAAATCCCACTTTACAGGTTATATATTGGTTTTTGATGGAGGTCTAGAGCACCATGCCTTGCCTCAAAAGCCACCCCAGGACTGCAGCGTCTTGGCTGACCCAGCCCGCCACGAGACCACAGCGCCCACCATTTAGGCACTAGAGGCTGAAGTCCCTGCCAGATTGTACTCACAACCCAGGCCAGGGCCAGGCCTCTTAAATGAGCCCATCATCTGTGACGTGGGGAGAGAGGATTTCTTAACGCATAGACTTCTTGTGACAGCAAGCATCAATGGTTCTGTGTGTCAGGCCCATAACCAACTGCTGCAAGTGGGCCCTGCTGACACTTTGATGGATTTAAAATCTTGTATTTCCCTATAAAATTGTATGATGCTTGGCTCATGGTTTCTTTAAGTGTCTCCTTCAAAAAACACATGGCTCAATTTGCGTTAAAATAAAAGAGGAAAATTGCCATAGAATATTTAACCTGTGCAGTGACTTAGGTCAGGTGAATAACGACATAACCACTGGGAATGCCTCACTGGGGAATGGGAGGCAAATAAAACTTGTTTCTTATTTTGGATTTTCAAATTTTTCCTTCTCTTCTTTTATAAACAGGCTTTCTAGAACTTTTTTTCACAATTCAGCAACACGTAAAAGCCTCAAACATGATGGCAGCTTCCCCAGCCATTAGAGCTTTGCCATAGACTTGGGTGAGGCCTGACCATCTCCAAACCATCGCCCCCCCATAACTCTAGCCACCTGAAAGACCCCATCCACATGTGCATGCAGGCATGAGTGATCCAGCTTGCACAAGCTGTCTCCTGAATTCAGCTGCAAAGAAAATCTATGGGCGTGTAAAAACATCGGAGGAGAGCAGAAGGAACAGTAGCAGCTCTAGCAATGGAACAAGGCAGCTATTCAAGGATGGTAGGTAGATCCGTAGCTTCATGCAGCGGTGTTTAACAAACATGCAAAATCACTTTGTTTCTTAGGACAAGCAGAGGATTTTCTTCTGATAATAGAAATACAAAAATTAAACCATTTCTCCAATCAAGACAAAAACCTTGCTGAATTCACTTCATTGTTTTATTAGAATATAATTTTGCCCACTTAAAAAAACCAAGACACCAAATTCAGACCTAGGAGTAGCTTGAAACAAAAGTCCCAACATCAGAGGACACAGCACAGCTGATTTTCATCAGCAATACATGTATTAGAAAAGGAACAGAAACACACATTATTGTTTTCATTGTCAGGCAATGAAAAAACAATTACTCTTTAAATGAACCAAATTATTATTATTAACCGCAACGCATAAGGAGTGGTTTAAATGGTTGTACAATAAATTGAGTTGGTACATCCACCGAAGCTTATACTTCCACAGCATTCATGGGTTTCTGTGATGTCTGGTGTTTAAGCCACTTACACTGCCATTACTATCTGCTTGAGCTAATGGCCCAGCATCACAGACTTCTGCCTCCTCCCTAGAGCCACTCTGCCTCTTCTAAGCAGCGGATGAGCCCAAAAGACATAAAAACCAAGATTGCTTCTACCTCCCCTCCACTTCGGTGCACTGTAGTGACACCTTTCACTCATACGACAGTGCCGTCCATCCATCAATGCAGTGAAATGATCAACCAGAAGGAAATTGTGCAGTTACTGCGCCAGCTCACAGCTTTTGCACACCTGAATAGTAACATTTGCATGAGGTTTAGATATTGCATACAGTGGATTCGGTAGTTTCCGCATAGCTCCAGGCAGTAACTGCTGTCATGAATAGATCCTTTGTTTTTACACTTCTTTATTGTTCTTTCTTATCTGCCTGCAGACTGCTGTGCACCCCTGATTACACAGACCAAAAGCCACTAAAGTAACTGCTGCAGCAATAGCTGATAGCTAAGCAGTAAAATGAGGCTGAGTCTGGAAGAGGTGGCTGCCTCTGACTTTGAAGATGAGCCATGAATAAATACATAAAGCAAAAAAAAGAGAAGATGGTAGTGGTTTGTAGCCATGATGATCTGAGGTTATAAGAGAAGTAAGGCTGAGGAAGAAGTAACTGGATAAAACAATATAAAAACAAAAAGGAGAAGCTGTGATGTGTGAATATTCTGAAGGCAGATGCTCCTCAACTACTTCTCTGAGAAAACCTCTCTAAAAGCCTCTAGGCAAACTTCTATGTCATAACTTAGAATAAGCTCCAGGGTGCAATAAAATCCTGTATCTTCATAGATGGAAGTGGACAGTTACAGTAAACTATCATTTGCACTGGAAGTCTCTTCCTTCCTATCTTACAGTGTTTCACTACGCTAGAAAGAAAGAGTAGTAATCTTTCTGACCTAGAATTGTGGTATTGGGTTTGCACCACAAAGCAGGGATGTTCTGATGGCTCCCAGAAAACCAAATGTGGTCTGAACCCTGTGGGAAAACTTGCCTATCCCTTTGGAGGCGAGGCATGTGAGCATGTGCTGTTCCCCTTATTTACTAACCAAAGGGTCCACCAGTCTTTCCCACCTCCACCACCAACTGCTACCTCAGAGGAGTTGGAAACCATCCCAGCATTCCCCATCAGCTGGGCTGCTTCTCACAGTAGACACAGCCACCCTTCTTCTTTGCAAACTGAATGCACCAGGAGAATGAAGAGGCAGCTCCATTTTTTTGGAAGGCCATTAAAACTATGAGAAAAATAACCAAGTGAAAGCACTGCCTGGAAGACCGTGGCTCCATACCCCAGCTATACCACAAAGGACATCCAGCTCATATAAACCAGATTAGTTCCTACTCAGAGATTGCATTTAACTATTAGGCTTGCTGCTGTTCTCATTAGCTCTCAATCGCTTCCAGACTTCTGTCAGCCCATTCAGGGATGCCGGACAAGAATAAGATGGATTGAGACTACTACGTTGCACCACTACTATCCCGTCAGGAAATTTCCATCTCCTCTTTTGTCTTCAATTATTAAGCCTGCTTTATGTGGAGAGAGAAAACATACCATATGCATTAAGTAGGTCTGTCCCAAGGTCAGACTCTTCTCCTTTTCTGGCACAAGACTTTTGTTCTAGAAGCAAATAATCCCTATCAAGGTATATACACATGCACACACACACGGATGGATGGAGATGGATAGGCACTCAGCTGGCCTACACCCTTCACCAGGTAGGCAAGAGCCAGCCCTGGTTGTGGACCGTGCAGTCACACCAGCCTCTCAGCAGGCTTACTGCCCTGGCTGTGCTAACGATGGGGCTTCTGGAAATGAGGACGCGACTGCGGGCACCCATTCATGCATCACAAGTCCCCCAGAAGGCCGAAGGCGTGCTCCCCTGTGCAGGGTGTGCAGCCACGGGTCCGGCAGCCTCCCAGCGACAGCCGCGGTGGCTCTCGGTGTAGCAGCACTTCAGCTGCATTAGGCACTGTGTTTATTATCCCTATCAGACTTGCCGCTTCTCCACTTTGGGCTGCTCCTCAGTGTCAGTGGAGGAGAATTGCTGCTTCTGCTTCCAGAAAGTGAAAGAAAAAAAGTTACAAGGATGACTGCAATCTTATTTCACAGTAAACCTCAAACAACAAATCCCTCTGCGTGACATACCACGGCTATCTCTCTCTTTGAGCTTGTTTTATTGAAACCTGAAAGACCCAGGAGTAAACAAATGCAGCCACCCCTTGTGATACTTCGTGAGTTCATGTCTGATGGGGGAGGAGAAAATCAGTCCCAAGCCTCCAATTTTCACTCTAGCATGGAGTGAAATTAAGCCAACATCGTAGTGCACCAGCCCTGCCAACTTTCCACTGGCTGCTCTGCATGTACTAGGCCCACACATTTCTATTTTCTAGCAATTCCTGGCAAATATCCTGTCAGATTAGCAGCAGTTTTACTCCGAAGACATGACGCACAGAAAAACACAGGCAGTTCATCTCTTCCAGAAACCACCTCCCTGCCACAGCTTCAGGCAAGCCGCTTTTAAGACAGTGCGGGAGCAGTGACCCAGGTGCAGAAGGAGCCCCGGCAGTGTCCCTGTGTGTGCGCGCTGACCATAAAGTTAACATCAGATGATTTGCAGTGCGTTACCTCAGTGTGAGGCCTTATCCGGATTTTGCTGACAGAACAAATGAAGGGAAGAAGAAAGAAGACAAGTATATGAGGACAGTGCTCACAACAGGAAGGCTTACATAGTTTACTTGTATTCTGCTACAGAGCATCTGGCATGTCTGGGTCAAGAGACTCAAACCCTCTTCCTTTTCAAATGACCAGTTTCAGGGCTGGGAAATGCTCGAGGCACAGGTGTGCACCATGTCCAGAAGGTGCACAGATTTGTGGTGGCAGCTCCCTGAGCAAAGCCCAGAGGGAGGGGAGGAGCTGCCTCTGGAGGAAGAGTGGGCATGGAGGACTGCGAGGCAGGTCTGTCACAGAGCTGGCTTCATGGCCTGCTGAGCTGCAACACCGCCACTCACCAGCAGCAGAGAAACTTGCCAGGACATCTAGCACCTTATCCCTCTCCCACTTACTAATGTCAGCAGCAAGCCTGCTGCTGGCTGCTGCTAACCTTGGAGAGGGGGAGAGATGAATAAAATCAAATAAATACATAAAATCAGAGGTCTTGCCCACAACAAACCCTGCTGTGTCTTGGCCTCCAAACACCCACACTTCCTCGGACTCCTACAGGCAAGAGGGGAAATATGATGCCCAGGACAGACAGGAGAAAACAAGAAGGTGCTTTCCCCCCAGTGTTTCTCAGAAGACCAAGAAATCTTAGGAGATACGCTATCTTCTTCCTAAAAACACACTCATGTCTCTGGTTTAGCTAATTGCTCTTGGCTGAGGAGACGCTGTCTTCTGAAGTCTTCAGGAAAGGAAACACGATACAAGAGTCTCACATGCACTAGAGAGCTGGAAAATTAAAACACTGACACTTGAGATTTGGAGCAAAACCAACAGGATAGCCAGCACCTGCTCAGAGCTGGAGTCCTCCCTCTCCAAGGACCCCAAACCCAGACCTTCAGAGGACCAGGACACCTTACAGCACCTAAAACACAGCAGCAGTTTAACATAAAATGCTGCAGAACTTCCCCAAAGCAAGCAAGGTGTTAAGCAGCCCTTTTTTCCCCCTCTAGTGCTCTGATAAATCACAACACAGAAATGGAAGTGTTTCCATAAAATGGGCAAATTGGTTCCTGGTTGCACGTAATTCAGGATTCTTACTCTGTGCCACAGCAAAGCATAAGAGGCCAAGCTCAGATCACTATCTACTGATTATTCACATAAGAGAAGAGAGAGCTACTGTCTCACAAACACAATTCAGGAATGTATTATTCCTCCAAGAAATTGTGACCATGCAGAGTAAATCACAGGACCTGTTCAGTCATTGTGTTACTGTCCCAGCTTCACCCAAAAACCAACCACTGCAGCTGTGCCACAAGGCAGGCATATGTTACCAAAAAAAAAAATAAAAAAATTAACTAGTGAGGGTTACTGTGGATGATTTTTGCAAATAAAGTGAAAATAAACACAGCAGCTGTAAAATGAGAGTGCAGCAAGGGAGCTGAGCCCTGCTCCTGGCACCCACTCCTTACCTTCGTAGCAGGGCAAGAGCTTCCTCCCGTGGGGCTGCAGGTTGGGGGGAATGATGTTGCAGAAGCCGTGGGGCAGGATGTACTCCGTCTCATAGTAAATGTTTTTCCACCGGTGTGCACATGCCTAAACAGATCATATCACATGCATTACTGACCCAGTCATAGGAGAGCCCTCCGACCAAAGCAGAGCACACGTGAACAAGATGTCTCAGCATTGCCTTGCCCCCATGACTCCACTGTCTTCTCCTTACTTCCTACTCTTTCTAGATAAAGTATCTTCTCACTGTTATCTTCTGCAGCTCATGACACTGCCTGACCTGGCAGCTCAGAACTCAGCCTTCACGTGCATGACTAGGAGAAACAGCAGCTCTCAGAGCAAGACAGAGCCCATGCTGGAGATTTCAAAATCTCTCACCATGTATGAATCCTCATGGCTAGTGAAGCTTTTGTAACTAAAGATGAACTAACAGAACCCACCCAAGACAGAAAAGAGGGAAACCCAGGAAGAAAGACATTGAAAATACACCCAAGAGGATCAGAATGGATGCTAAGATTCAGAAAGTTACTAAGACCATATTAGAAGGTTATCCCACCAGAGGATGCATGTGTAAGTGAAAGGCTCGTCTTGCTGGGAAAGGCAGCTTTGTTTCTGGTGACAGAAGAGCTGGGCCATGCTTACTGGTAATTAATTTAAGTAAAAATGCCAGAGATTTTGTGGCAATGAGTGGCAACATCAGTCAAGGTGCAGATGCACTGCAGAGATCAGGGTGCCTTTCCCTTCGTAGTGAAGATCACCCTGCAAAACCAGAGCTAAACCAGTCTCACCAGGACACTTGCTCAGTACAACTGCCGCAGACAGGCACATGTACAAGCAACGTGGAGCCTGGTTCACACCTTCCCAGAACGCATTTACTCCAAAGATTAACATCACATTGCTGTCAGACAAACTACAAGTTGCCCGATGCTCAGGGGTTACTTGGAAGGGCTTTGAACTTGAGCACATGCCAGGCCATATCTCCAGCTGATCTAAGTTACTGAAGTCAGTGTAGATGTGTCAATTTATATCACTGAAGGCTTGATCCCATGCAAACAGAGCAGCCTCTAGGCTACAAATCATCTCCCCCACATACTTTCAACCTTTCCCGGAAACTCTGCATCAGCCCCCTTCACGATCCCTGCATTTGACCCTATCTTCCCCAGACAAAACACCTTCTGTCTTCCTTCCCTTTGTGCTACCCCACTTTTCTGCCTCAGTACCTCAGAGTTGCCCATGGGAGCATCCCAACATCATTAAAAAATATAGCCATGAGACAGGCGTAGTTGTGTCATCCATCCAGTAAGGGACCTGGAAAGTGTATCAACCACTGGGAAGCTCAAAACTCAATCCAGCAGTCACCACAGGCCCCTTCCCATATACTTAACCCCAGAAAGACATAAAAGGTTAATACTACTCTCATTATTTTAACTGAAACAGAGCAAAGCCAGTTGTCCAAAAGCGTGTTCTGCTGTTAGCAGCACTGCATTTGGAGTTTGATATTTATTGCCTTCCTAACTTCCAGTACTCCAGGAGAAGCACGTAGCTCCTGAAGATGGCTATTGCAGAGGAATAATGAGGGACTCTGGGGGCTGTGGAAAGCTCTGCACTGCATGGCACAGGCTGCCACCCCTGACACGAAGGATGCTTCTGATAGCACTCTGCTTGACAGCCAAACGCATGTGCGAAGTCCTGCAAAGAGCAGCTTTGGGGATTCCCTGATGTGCCTTAAGGAAGCCCAGGTATGGTTTTAATCCCCATGTATCACTCATTCAAAATTCAACATCAACAAAAAAAACAGCACATGAAACGCTCGTTTTCAGCGTAACCAGGAAATAGTTCCTCTCCTAACAGATCTGTGCTGCTAGCACAAATACACACATGCAGAGCCCTTGTAAAGACAGTACCATAAAGACACATACCATTAAAGCAAGAGTCAGGTCACCCTCAACTCTGGTTGTAAACTCAAACGGAAACAGACTGAGAGTATTTTTTAAAATTATGAGCAGATAAATAAAAGATTGTGATACTGTAAATTCCTTGACATTCTATATCTCGGAAACTGCAAGGGACTCACATAAATTAACCTACTAATCTCTCCCAGAGGAGCACAAACAAGAGTTGAGGAGAGCAGCAGCATTTCATCACAAGCAGGAGGCTTTGCTCAGGAGTGAAGTGCACAGGTCAAGAAAGATGGAAAAATATAAGGAGAAAAAAAAAAAAAAAAAAAGAGCTGCTGCATAAGAAGTACATTTAAAATCAGATGGAGGCTACGGGCTCAGTTTAGCCTCTTTTTCTGGGCACGCTTACCTAATCTGTTAGGGTTTGGGGTTTGTTTGGGTTGGTTATTTTTTTTAATGATCACTTTTCTGTACTTTCAGCACGCTGTGTATTCAGGCACACTACAGTTTACCACTGGCTGCCTGAGTCTGTGGACAGCTCAAAACCGCAGCTTTAAGAGATGAGCTCCACCTTGGTTATCTCAGCTGGGGCTTCCCCAGACTCCCCCAAGCCACAGCTGCAGCGTCTGACATTTTCCCAATGGACAGGAGAGCAGCAGCTCCTCTTCCTCCCTGAAACTCATTTATCTGCAGCCAAGCAACCAGCACATTTGTCTCCATGCTACAGCAAAGCTCATCCACAACTGCTTTTGGTTCTCGCACCTTCCCAAAAATGTTTAGTTGGATCACAGTATGTGATCCCCTATTTAACTGGGGCAAATGCTGCCAAAGGTGGCTGCAGCCTTCCTTTTTCAATGGCACATGTCTGCAGAGGTCTTGGGAAATGAGTCACCTCAATTTGATGCTGTGGGGAGGGTTTTTCTATATTGATTTGTTTGGGTTTTTTTCCCCCAAGGTGATTGCAAACAA